ACCGGGTTCTCCACCGGGAGCACAAACCTTCTGTAACTCTGGGTAATGCCCATTCACTGTCTGGGCTGCGTGTAGAAGGGAAAGGGCCTGACTTGATGATGAGTCTTATCAGCCTGACTGTGCCAGGATCACCTAAACCTTCTTTCCTGCATTTTCATCTATAATCTGAAAAATAATAATAATAAGTGCATATATTATGTGCTAGTTTCCATCCGTTGTGGTTGCTCAAAGCGCATGTATCAAGAGTAGTATTTGGAGAAGAGATGAGTTTTAAGTTTGAACTTGAAGACAACTAAAGATGGAGAGGTTTTGATACCAAAAGGAAGATAGTTCCAGAGAGAAGGAGCACAGAATGAGAATGATCAATAGCTGAAGGATTTGAGATTGATCTTGGGGATGGTAAATAAAAGTTGATCATTGGATTTCAGATTTTTGCTTGAAGTATATTTCTGGTGAGGTTCTTTTAGATATGCTGGTGTAACGTCATGGTTACAGCTGTAGATCAGGGATAGAACTTTGAAGTCGATTCTAGCTTGTACTGGAAGCAAATGGAGATTCATCAATATTGGTGTTATATTGGATGTGTTTTCTTGCTGCGATGAATTAGCCGAGCTAAGACATTTTGTACTCTTTGAAGCTCCATGAGAAGATCTTCCCTTATGTTGATAAGCAAACTGATGCCATAGTCAATCCTGGAAAGATTCAGAGACTTGACCAACTGACTAGTAGCTTCTTAGTCAACAAATGTCTAATGTGGCCAATACTTCACAGGTGGTTGAAGTAGATTCTACAGGTATGCTCTACATGCGTGTCCACTGTCATAGAAAGACACCATGATCTTTCACTGCATCAGAGAATGGTATTGATGAGTCACCAATATGAAGCGAAGATACAGAGATAGAATTTCGTTTGGAGTCACCATCCAGGATTTTATCGCATACGTGCAGTGTTCAAAGTCACTAAGTGGTGAAGAGGTATCTCGTTCTAGAAATGATTGGTGTAGCTGTGTGTCATCAGCGTACGAGTGATAAGCAACGTCGTGGGCATCGATGACATCACTAACAGAAGCTGTATACAGGGTGAATAGGATCGGTCCAAGGATCAAACCCTGTGGTACGCCGCAGTTAAGGGGAACTGGGTCTGATGAGGCTTTATCGATGACCACTGATTGGCATCTATGATGAAGATGGGATTCAAACCACTTTTGAAAGCAGTTCCTGATAATCTAATTCGTGTCTTGAGGCAGTGGAATAACTGTCAAGAAATGTTAATATTTAGTTCTGTCGTCTTTCGAATCCTTTCAGAAAACATGCTACAGGAATATTTGTTTTATCCCAATGACATTGTCGCTTTCGCAGCACGTGAACATTCGACTCCATGGCTTCCAGAACAAACTTTTAATAATTGTCTTTGAGTTCAAGCGCTCCTAAATTAATGTTCTTCAGATTACGTGTTGGCTCGGAGACGTATGTATGAAATTAACACACAACAAAGAAATTATACTGTAAAAACTAATTGTATTCTAGAAAGAACTAATTTAACAAATCAAATACAAATCAATACACAGATATCACTATGGCAGTACAAAATACAATTGCAATATACATTTACAGGTAAAATAATGCAATAAAGACAACGGTGGTGGTATTCCCTTGTTAGCAACAGTAATCCACAGGGGCTAGGCAGAGAGAGGGTATCTAGAGTGACCACACAAAAGGCTGGTCCTTATGTGACTTTAGATGTAAAGTCATCATCCCGATAGCAACACAGATGTCTAAAAACGTCTTACGAATCACGCATTTTTCAAAACGTGAAAAAACGTAATTGTGGTCCAAATATACGTGCATGGTTGTGGCATAAATACCGATGTTGGACAGAGTAAGCATGCAGTAACCCCCAAACCAAGCGCGACGAGACAGGGTGATCGGTATTGCCAATATGGGGGCTTCACAACGTCAGCTGGCACGAACTTTCAACTGCAGCCAGGCCACAATGAGCAAATGATAAACCGCTACCTGCAAACAGGCCAGACTCAAGACCGCCCAAGGGCGAGAAGGCGAAGAGTCACAACACCGGCTGAAAACCGTATCATCCGGCAGATTCGTGACAGTAACGACAGCACTAGGGCACGCCATCAGCAGACGAACAGCCCTTCGACAGCTTGGTATGGTTGGTATACGAGCATACCGCCCCTTCCTTGGAATGGCATTGACCTGTCTACACCGTCAACGCTGACATCAATGGGAACGAACTGTACGTCGCCGGCAGCGACGTGACTGGCAGACAGTACTCTTTACAGATGAAAGTCGGTTCAGTCGGTTCAGAAACGATGGAAGAGTTCGAGTTTTTCGACACAGGGGAGGACGACTGGCGCCAAACTGCACTAAATGCCCGGCGATACAAGGATTTGCAAACTCGACAAAGTATGGCTTCACACCGCCAGATTGTTCGGGAATAACCTGCACAACGTTTACCTCAACGTATTGCCTTGGCCAGGGTCTTCTCCAGACATGAACCCCATTGAATATCCCTGGGATCATCTTGATCGTCAACTGAGACAGCGTGTACCACCTCCAGCGAACCGACAGGAACTTAAACAGACCCCCTTGGACATATGGAACAGGATTCCTGCTGACGTCATCCGCCGACAGACGACGTCATTGAAGAGACGTGTGTGTATGGATGACCGGGGTGGTCACACTCGCTATTGATGACGTGTGTTGGCGTGTATGGATGCCCAGGGTGGTCACACTCGCTATTGATGACGTGTCCCCTGACTCCTGTCTCGTTATGTGACTCATTATGCACTTTTGAATGAACTATGATTTGTGTAATTGTTAAGTTTGATCCCTTGACTATGGCATTTTCTGCGGCAAATAAGACCAGCGTTAAAATGAATATTCAGTCAAATTATTGGAAAATAATTTCACTTTGTAAAATAATCATCATAAATCTCATATACCAGTCCAAGGGGTTGTCGGTACCACATTGAGGGACCAAACAATATTATGTTTTTATTGTAGTAGGATATCATAACTCATGTTTGCAACATGATAGGCTTCTGTATTAGGCAGCGGTTTTTTAAAAAGTAGATGTAATGTATTATGGAATCACGTTTTTTTATCGCAAAGCTAGAGAATTAATGCCTATGTATACAGTTTTATTGTCAATACAATCTTTATCCATAGATATTAGAATATTTCTCTGTTCAGCAGCTGTATTTAAATAAGATGGACAAGCCATCTAAACCAGTATGAAAAACCATTAACTGCAACTCGAAAAGTTCAGATTGAAAATATTTTGCTTGGGCAAAATATTGTGTAAGCTGCAGTATTCCAATCATCAGTCACTTAATTCATTTACATGCAACACACTGCCAAAATGTGTTTAAATTGAGTAGAATCATGTATGTTATAGACCTTCGATTTCAGCGAGGCACTAATTATAACATAATTTGAACATACCGTGCAGTTGGAGTTTTGTGACAAAGGATAACCATTGTACAGATTTTCCCAATACACTAGCTGTCAGCTTCATACACACCTCATCTTCACTATCAGCATAAACCACCAATAAATAATAATAAAAAATAATAATACATCTAAACTACAAATTGTATAAGCATAGATTTAAAATGAGGAGTACAACAATTCATTACAAATGAATAAATTCAGGAGTATTTTGGCAAACTTTCGTTGCAGCACACTCCATCTAGAATCAGCAACGGTAGGATGAACAGTGTTGAGCGCACAGACAGACTGTGTAAACTATGTAAATTGGGAGCTATAGAGGCTGAATACCAATTTCTTTTGGGTTGTAGATCACTTTCACACATTAGAAAAACAATACATAAATGCATCAATTGGTTTACCTAATGTCAAATAAGAATAAAAGCACTATTACAAATGTCTCAATGTATTTACATCATGCCATGAATTTGAGAACTTCCATATTATTCCCACACATATGAATCATTGTACCAATATATTACTACACATATGAATATGTATATTTTACGCATCTGCACCATGCTATTATATTGTCTATGTAGTCTATGTGGCAATAGGTCGTTGGCCTAAATATCCTAAATGAAACACATCTGAACCGCAAATTTAAGCAACAATCAGAGGTTTTTGGCGTGCCCAAGGGACGTAACTCTTCACAGCTAATTGCGGCGCTTTCAGAGACTGGGTCATCAGTGGTCCTGCACCGTCCTTAGTTCGAGCCTATTGTTTAAATCTGAATAGGATACGCAACTACAGAATAAACGGTTAGCCAATCAACTGCCATGGCATGGTAGAAACGTTGGAGTACTATATATAACGGTAATACTCAAATCTACTCTCATCCTGTTAATTTCGCATCGCAAACTCAAAAATACACATGCATTTTTTTTAAACTGGACACTACAATCATTTCACACACATTATTTTTTTTACAAACACAGACACATAAACACGCACTCACACTTGGCATGTGAGTAATGTTTGTTCCTGCATTTACCCACTTGCTGTTTAACAACATGTCGACCATGATTAAGAATGAGTCACTATCGCTGCTATAGAATGAACGATAACTGTTACCACTAAGACAGGCGGCAATGAACAGAAATGAAGTCCAATAGCAATGCAACCATACTGACAATCCGATTGGAATCCCTTGAACACATTCAAATACAATTCACAGTTGAAACAAGTACGTTACGCACATCACGTGACTAGTCAATTTCATCTCGTAGTTTATTACATCCATGTGTACAAACATAACCCATCCTAAAACTAATGAAAACAGATTTGTGATTGTTATCTTCGACACCCACATCATCATCATTTACTAATTTGTTGTACATAATTCATCTCCGTAGACATTTACGAACATGGTTACACGTACGCCGCCCACTGAGAGTGACAGACGAGATTCAAACACAACAAATCAGATATTTGGTCATATACATGTAATAACATCAAACACGCTCAGGGATACTATCACAAGTCACCTACCTTTAATTACCGCAGGTGTACTGTCCACTCCTTGTATCCTTGTATGAATCCAAGTAGCAATGCAACCATGCTGACATACGATCGGAATCCCTTGATCAAATTCAAATACAATTTACAGTCGAAACAAGTACATCACGTGATCTGCAATACCTACCTGTAATTACTTTAGGTTTACTGTCCACTCCTTGTATCCAGACAGACGACAAAAACAAGATTCCAGAATAGACAGGTACTTGTCGAGAACGCATGATGTTGGAATGACTATGTTAAGTCACAAAACGTTATGTCAATATAAGCGACAAAGATCAATTCCAGTCCAAGCACACCACCAGAACGTGCCAACGACACCTCACCAAATAGCGACGGCACTTGACGCTTGTGAAACAGCGAGCGTACCCCGCCCTAGCAGTTGACACATGAGGCACTATGTGTTAATTTGTTGCGGTCTACGTCAGGGAAACTTGCGGTCTACGTCAGGGAAATTTGCGGTCTACGTCAGGGAAACTCGAGTCTTCAATCCAGAGTCCTGGTCCAAGAGACACTTACTCAGATGACCAAACTCACATGCCTCCTCAATAGCTAAGTTTCATGGTCTCATATTTAGCAAGCTTCATGGAGTGAAATGAGGAAGTGTTTAATGAAACATATTAGACAATACTAGCCTAGCAGTAGACAAACATAGTTCCGTGTGTGAGTGTGTCTGGGTGTTATGTAACCTGCATTACGAACTTGAACGCCGGCGGAATAAAAGTCAACTGTGTAATAATCCCAAGTACTCATGTACTAACGGTCATTTTCAAATATCATCTAACAACGACCCGCATGGGAATCAACTAAAAAAGTGCAAGAATAGATAGATAGATGGATAGATAGATAGATAGATAGATAGATAGATAGATAGATAGATAGATAGATAGATAGATAGATAGATAGATGGATGGATGGATGGATGGATGGATGGAGGGAGGGATGGACGGAGGGACGGATGGTTGGATAGATAGATAGATAGGTGGATAGATAGATGGAATGGATGGACGGACGGACGGACGGAGGGAGGGAGGGAGGGAGGGTTGGATAGATGGATAGACAGATGGATTGGATGGAGGGATGGATAGATGGATGGATGGTTGGATAGAAAGATAGATAGATAGATATTCTTTATTTCCCCCCCAAAATGAAGATTACATTTGCATGATAAACAACAGTACAGAAAAGGTTCCAACTATTAGTACTGATATTATACAGTAATGTCCAATTGTGAAAGAACTGAAGGTATTTATGAACATTCAAACTGAGGAAAAAACTAATGATTACCATCAGTTCTGACCAGGTGTTATAATCTAATACATCTTTACAGTGGCCAGGTATACCTCCAAGGAGGAATGATAGGAATACATCATCGTCTTCTGTCCACATTTTAGCAAAAAATGTCTATGTCAAGCATGTCACAGATTCTTTCAAATAGAGAATTCCTTTCTACTAAGTTATACTGGCATGACATAAAAAGGTGTTTCATAATGTCGTGAGCAACTGTTCCTCATAGACATTCCTTTAATTCTATTGGAGTTGCGCCAAGCCTTATGATTCTCGCAATGTCAGTGAAGTTCTGAGGTCGTTCTAAAGTGAGTATCCATAGTCTATGTTCTCGTCCTGATCTTATTGTTAGATATCTGGAAAGAGACAACCTTGTCTGCAGTACATTTACCAACTGCATTTGATCATATGTAGCTACCTTATCTTTGACTATTTGCGACCAAGCATTTTTCTTCATAAACTTAGAATCACAAATGTAGTTACGGATTTCACTAAGCAGATTGTATTTGGAAACAAGCCGTAACATGTTAAAAACAGGTGATTTCATATCAAACTTATTCTTGTATATCAGTGATTCTTTACAGTGGTATTGGCCAAGGCGGGCTAAAAACATTTGTTTAAAGCTGTATCTTGTATTAGCTTTCCACAGACAAGTTTTGTTCTCTCCGTAGAGCACATAGTAGTGCTGATATGGACTCCAGCATATACTACAGACCATTTAATAGGGAGATTAGTTTATCCTAGATACAGGTTTGCAGGTAGGGATGCTCTGCTGCATCCAAAGGTTACAGCAGCGCTTTAACCAACATCGTATTTTAGCTGCCACTTATTTGCATATATACTAGCCACATAAAGAAACTGTGCACACAGAAAATGCCTTCATAATTGGAATACAACACAGCAAAGACGAAATGATGTAGACACGTTATAAGCTGAAGTATCTGACCACAAGAAAATGTCAAAAGAACATGAACAATATCCATAACGATGACGTCAGAAGTTCAAAATCGACTAGGGGGTCACACGACGAAGTCACAAAGTCAATAACGGGTATGACAAACGTATGCGTGAAGCACAGCAGTGCATCGAAGACGCATAGAGGCTAGCAAATGAGCATTGAAGGACTGGGGAATGGTCTGGGACGTGGTCACTGCTGTCTGGAACCTGTATCTGAGATGAGTCACCCGAATCCATCTGTCCTGTCTTGGCGTCGTTACGTCGGGAACGCCCAGAACGTGGGTGGTCGGCGACGTCATTACTGTTTCGATAACGCCTGACCCATGCAGATATCGTGTTACGATGGCATTGGAAATGTGCTGCCACCTGTTGTTGGCTCATTCCTGCTCGAACCATTCCAATGGCTTCATGACGTTGAGCAGATGTTAATCTTGGCATGATGTGCATGCGACTTCTCATGTGAATTGGTGAACTTTTGAATGACCAAAGATCAAGCTTTCGACAGTGACAGCAATTTCAGAGTTTCACATGTTGTGTGCATCTGTACGGGCTGCTAGTGCAGTAACACATTGCAAGGCCTTAGGCCACCGTCAATGACGTCACGTCGCCTGGCACGTGCATGAGCCTTTGATTGTCTCCAATGCTTGCTATGTTCACAAATGTATTTATGTATAAATACGCTGTGTGCCTATATTTATATTGTTTGTGTGCACAGTTTCTTTATGTGGCCAGTATATATAGTTCAGTCACCTTCAACAGTCTTTGGAGATATGTTGGATTATTGGTGAGAAACGTTTTGTCATCGGCTAGTCGTATTCCTGGGCATTTCTTAAAACTTAAAAAGAAAAACAACTTACACATGAATGCATTGAACTATAGGATAGGCGTAGTATCCGCCAGAGTTTTCCCTAATTCCAAGATTGTAGAGTTTGTAGAATAGACCGACAAACCAAACACGGTTAAATGCTTTCTCGTTATCAAGGAAATCTTTTTCGTTATAGTATACAATACTTTCTACAAGTGTAAGAGCTGCTGTCTCAGCACTGAAGTCTTTTCTAAAGCCAAATTGGAAGTTGTAGGGAAACGTTATATTTTCAGCTGTCCACTTTTCAATTATGTTAAGGAGCAATCTTTCAAACAGTTTACTAAGAATCGACGTTAATGTTTATCCTGTGTAGTTGGAGAGGTCAGCTTTACTTTACCGTGGCCTTTATGCAGGGGCAGAATGTGGCCAACATTAAAAGCTTGTGGAATGTACTCGTATGTGATGATATTGTTGAACAATATCATGATATGTTTTATTAAAGATCTACCTGCATAGTTGACATGCTTGTTAGCGAGTCCATCGGACCCTGTGGCTTTGATATTTTTTTAATCTTTGGACGATGGCTATAATCTCATTGAGAGTGAATAGTTCATTCAACGGTGAATACATGTATCCTTCACATATATTTTTACTTTCCTCCAAACATTCAATATTTGATATTTCTATTTACATATTTCTTTAGTAAAGTGATTATCAAAGTTACTTTCCATGTTTGGTACAGATAGATCCTTGAAGTATTGACCAAAAGTGTTACAGATATTTTCTGCATTATTGCCTGCATGATTTTTGTATACTACACTGGTTACTAGACCTGTAGCTCGTTTATACTTTTTGTAAGCTTAAAATATTCATGTAAGTCCATTTCCGCTGCTTGTTGGATTTCTTTCAGTCTATCATCTATGAGACTTTCCTTCCATTTATGGTGGAATTCCACCATTCATCTCCGGCGTTGTTGATCATTTACTTGTCATCCCAGGCCAATATAGGCAGTAGGCAAACAGAAGACAGTAGGCAAACAGAATCAGTGTAATAAAAAGGCGACAGCCCACGTGGTCCATTTTCTGACCAGTCACTAACATCCATAGACACATTTGTTATCAAGTATTGAGCAGAAAGGAAATAGCACAATTACTCGATACATCTGTTTTCCTCGTCTCTGACATCACAATATAAACTAAACTGTTATATACTGAGAAAACATTTATTGTTGTGTAGGGCCGCCAAGAAGTGCATTTGGGAATCTTAGAAGAACTGAATCAAGTTTTTCAAATGCCGCAGTTGATCAAACGCGTTATAGGCGCAGAATCGGCAAGGTTTGAGTACGCATACATCAGAACATGAACAAATGACAATACTATGTCTAGTATATGTACAGCAAAGTTCAAATAAAATGACAATACTAAGTAAAGCACAGAGCAAAGTGTCAACAGAATGACAATGCTAAGTCTAGCACAGAGCAAAATGTCAACAAAATGACAATACACTACGTTTAGCAAACAGCAAAGTGTAAACAAAATGACAATGCTAAGTCTAGCACAGAGCAAAGAGTCAACAAAATGACAATACTAAATCTTGCAAACAGCAAAACTCAAACAAAATTACAATACTAAGTCTAGCAAACAGCAAAGTGTCAACAAAATGACAATACTAAGTCAAGCACAGAGCAAAGTGTCAACAAAATGACAATACTACGTTTAGCAAACAGCAAAGTGTCAACAAAATGACAATACTACGTTTAGCAAACAGCAAAGTGTCAACAAAATGACAATACTATGTCTAGCAGCAAAGTGTTAAAAATGGCATTCCAATGTCTAGCAAACAGCAAAGAGTTAACAAAATGACATTACTACGTCCATCAGCAAAGTATTATAAAAATGACATTACTACGTCTACCATACAGCTGAGTGTTAACAAAATGACAACACTGTGTCTAAAACACAGCAAAGTGTTAACAAAATGACATCACTATGTATAACCTACGACAGAGTGTTAACAAAATGACTAGAACTGTGCCAGAAACATTGAAACAATAAATATAGGGTTATCTATGGACAGTTTTTTTTACAAAATATGTATTAAAACGTTTCTCTCGTCATGTTTTAAGTAGAAAGTTTCAATAATCATTTGCTTTTTTTGTCTGATCACGTGGTGTTGAAAGACCCGGACGATAAGGATCAACTTTTGAAATGATACATCACATGTATAGTCTACAAAGGTACTCCACTGTATGGGACATGGCCGTATGTCTTCAACTCGTGTCTCACTTCTTCTGGGGCTTCTGAACCTGGCTGTACAGCTCGGACATCTCAGCTATAAAACAAAAGTCTGAATACAAACATGTGGCAGAATGAAGTTACAGACATTTCCCGATTCCATTGTATTCCATGCACCTATTGTACTATGAAGTGCCGAACAATCCTTGGAAACGACATTGTTCGACACACATTGTTCGACTCGGGATTCGAACAATGTGTGCAGCCAGTAGTTGGTGAACACAAGTGCCATATAGCTTTTGTTTGCTGTAAACGCCAGCTGTTAAATGGCAGACAGATCTTGTCGGGTCTCCGGATTCATGATATCGATTCATATGATAAACATGGCTTACGTAGGACGTGTTCTAATCCGGGGTCACTCGGGTAGTAAACTAGAATGCTGTCATATGTGAAAACTACTCTCGCGAAGAACCAATGTTATCTCTGAGTCAACTGCCCTGTTCCTTTCTTCAAACTTTTTTGTTTGTTCATCATCAATTTGCAACTAAAGCATTCATTTGTCGGCTCGAAGTCACCAGTCTGAATGAACTACACTCCATGTGTTCCGTGTCATGCTATTGGTAGAACATTACTAAGTTTTCTCCTGAGACATGCACACATTTAGAAGCCTTTCTTTGTTTATTAAAACTTCGCGGGGTCAGCGAGAAATCAATCTTCCAGAGTACGAATTCGTCCCGATTAGGTTGCAAGGTTTATAAGCACCGCACTGACTATCATGGGTGATGTGTCGATATATCTACGATTTTGATGACAGGCATTGACACAACTGACATAACGTCCTATTATATAACTGATATAATGTCCTGTGATATAACTGACATAACGACCCGTGATATAACTGACATAATGTTCTGTAATATAACTAATATAATGTCCTGTGATATAACTGAGATAATGTCCTGTGATGTAACTGGCATATTGGCCTGTGATATAACTGACATAATGCCCCGTGATATAACAGACATGGTGTCCTGTTAAATAACTCACATAATGTCATGTAATATAACTGACATAATGCCATGTGATGTAACGGACATAGTGTCCTGTGATATAACTGATATAATGTTCTGTGCTATAACTGACATAATGTCCTGTGATATAATTTACATAATGCTCAGTGATATAACTGACATAATACTCTGTGTCATATAACTGACATAATACCCTGAGATATAAGTGACATATGTTCTGTGACATAACTGACATAATGCCATGTGATATAACTGACATAATACCCTTTTACATAACTACCATAATGCTCTGTGATATAACTGACATAATGCCCTGTGATATAACTGACAGTGTCCTGTGATGTAAACAATATAGTTTCCTGTGATATAACTGATATTATGCCCTGCTGTAACGCCCTGTGATATAACTGACATATGTTCTTTGACATAACTGATATAATGTCCTGTGATGTAACTAACATAATACTCTTCGATATAACTGACATAATGTCCATTAATATGTATGCTATAATGTTCTGTGATATAAATTACATAATGCCCTGTGATATAACTGACATAATGCCCTGTGATATAACTGACGTATGTTCTGTGACATAACTGGCAAAATGCCATGTGATATAACATAATACTCTGTGACATAACTACCATAATGCTCTGTGATAATACTGACATAATGCCCTGTGATATAACTGACAGTGTCCTGTGATGTAAACAATATAGTTTCCTGTGATATAACTGATATTATGCCCTGCTGTAACGACCTGTAATATAACTGACTACAACCTTGTCAGTTCAACAGGCTTTCAGTCAGTCATCCAAAACTATAAAACTCTGGTACATCTTCAGCGCTGCTTTATTTTTTATGACTGAAAGAGAATTCTAAGACATTCCTTCATGACATAAAAATGGTCCAGGGAAATTATTATTCAATTAATATTCAGGAGTATTAGTCTTTCCTTTATAAGTTTGTCTTTGTTTGTGAGTAGTCTCAGTGTCAGGTTGAGATCTACTAGGGGACTCACCATTTAGTGTTAATGTTCGTTGTTTATCTGGGATGGCATATATGTCTACAATCACACTGTCAGGTTGAGATCTACCAGGGGACTCACCATTCAGTGTTAATGTTCGTTGTTTATCTGGGATGGCATATATGTCTACAATCACACTGTCAGGTTGAGATCTACCAGGGGACTCACCATTCAGTGTTGATGTTCGTTGTTTATCTGGGACGGCATATATGCCTACAATCACACTGTCAGGTTGAGATCTACCAGGGGACTCACCATTCAGTGTTGATGTTCGTTGTTTATCTGGGATGGCATATATGTTTACAACAACACTGTCAAGTTGAGATCTACCAGGGAACTCACCATTCAGTGTTGATGTTCGTTGTTTATCTGGGATGGCATATATGTCTACAATCACACTGTCAGGTTGAGATCTACCAGGGAACTCACCATTCAGTGTTGATGTTCGTTGTTTATTTGGGATGGCATATATGTCTACAATCACACTGTCAGGTTGAGATCTACCAGGGGACTCGCCATTCAGTGTTGATGTTCGTTGTTTATCTGGGATGGCATATATGTGTACAACAACACTGTCAAATTGAGATCTACTAGGGCACTCACCATTTAGTGTTGATGTTCGTTGTTTATCTGGGATGGCATATATGTCTACAATCACACTGTCAGGTTGAGATCTACCAGGGGACTCACCATTTAGTGTTGATGTTCGTTGTTTATCTGGGATTGCATATATGTGTACAACCTCACTGTCAGGTTGAGATCTACCAGGGGACTCACCATTCAGTGTTGATGTTCGTAGTTTATCTGGGATGGCATATATGTCTACAACCACACTGTCAAGTTGAGATCTTCAAAGGGACTCACCACTGAGTGTTGATGTTCGTTGTTTATCTGGGATGGCATATATGTCTACAACCTCACTGTCAAGATGTGATCTACCAGGGAACTCACCATTCAGTGTTGATGTTCGTTGTTTATCAAGAATGACATATCTGTCTAAAACCACACTGTCATTGAGATCTACCTGCGAGCGCCAGGGGATCTGACGGAGACAGTACCAAGTACTACACCAAGACATAGAAAATACACGGAGCCAGAAGTACATGGTTACACATGGATCAGTGTCAATGTCCCGAAGATGGTGACAAGGTTCAGAGACTGACATCAGACATTTGATAGACAGAGAGGGGAAAAGGGTATATGATGCATGAAGGATTTAACCAACATAGTTTCGTTGCTCATCGTTTGTGAAATTCATAAAATAGTGGCTCTGTAAGTGAGTGAAAACCACGAGGCTTGCACTTCCATCTGTGGTAATCTATGCCATAGACTCACCCTGGTGTTTAGCTGCCTGTCCCACGTCTCCACCGTAACTGTCATACAGGACGTTGTCCACCATCCCTGCAAAGAGGATGGGAAAATGAACCTGAACAAACTGGCGTTAGACAACAGAGGAGAAAAACAAACAAAAGTATAAAGGAAATGTTTTATTGACTATTTTTACATATAATCAAACACATACTAGTATTAGGTCTTTGAATGGCATTTAGAAGTGATACACTTATAAATGGCTACACAATTACTGGCGTTGATGTGTGATTGGCAAAGGATAAATGGAAACCAACACTTAATAGTTAATTAGTGTTGATTGGTGATGAACAGTGTACAGCTGGTAGCCGGGATTAAATTATAATTTATAGGCCATCCATTGTTTAGCCATCATGTTTGTTGTCTTATTACTTTTGTTGTACATGTACATATATATGCTCTCTGCTTCATACCATTCATTCACCTGATTCAGGATTCTCCGAAACGTTGTGTTCTCCACAATAAAGAAGTTGACATCCATAAAACCTCTCTTCCTTATGCTAGTTTTCTTAAATCCATCAAAAGGTTTAAAAGTTGTATGTACTCACCAGCATCTTCTCTTTGTTCAGGATCTTGATGTCTGATAAGTTAGAAATGTAGGATTACATTAATTCTGGGTTTCGCCACATACATAATCGGACCACTTCAGTTAAAACTGAACAGTGAAAACCACGCATAGCTCAAAAATGTATTAATTTCCTTTTTGGTAGAGATCCTTCTGAACCATTGTTTAAATTTCGATTGTATGTCCTTTAGTGAACAGATGGGTAGGCCGTTTAAGGTGCCATACTCCATTTTGTCAGAAACGTCTGATCAAGGGTTCGAATCCTGTGTGTGAAGGCAGGTGATCAGTTTGCACCCGGTCGTGGGTTTCACCCAAAGTGTATATATCAAATACCTTCATCACCTCGGCTTTCCAACCACATCAAGATTACACGCCGTGATATTACTGAATGCTTAAGAGGCGCTAAACGTATCCGCGTTTGAAGGCATTATTATCTATTGGCTGAGGATAATATACTTCGACTGTAGAAGAAAAAGAAGGAGTTGTATTGTATTTTAGGCCAGCGGCACACATATAGAAGAAACAATAATAACAGTCAATTACACAATCGAATGTTACATGCAGTATAACACCAATTTAGATATGCAGTATTTTTCAATACGTTATTTCTTACGACTGTTGATTGTTGAAGAAGGAGAAGCTCTTCTGAGCCACATACGGAGTAAACAAAATACAGAGCAAATTACACACTCGGATGTTACTTGCAGCTTATTAAGAGTAAGATATGTAAAGGCAAAGTGGATTTTATTATCTATACCACTTTTACATAACATGCAAATCCTTTCATATTATCAATCCCTATTTCCCCACCTTCTTTGTACAGTACTGATACTCGTATTGTCACCTGTGAAAAACAGCAATAACGGCAACAATTCCATGCCATAACTGTAAAGTGTCACTTTAATTCCTCGTTCTTTCCATAATCTGAGAATTAAGAGGTACAATGTATCCGTATACATACCTATGATCCCCATTGACAGGCTCCCGAGCTGCTGAGGAAATATAAACAGAACAACACTAGACAGAGATCATCAGTACTGAATTACTACCTTTACAGGTTTCTCTTTTATAAGCTATTTATACACTGTTGAATAAATGGGGAAACGGATAGTGTTAGTAGCAGGGGAAGTGTATAGCGATTCTGAAATTTGAGAATAGGTTAATCAAAGTGAACGATGACATAAACTATATTTGGCATCCTCCCTAACTCGCTGTGCAGAATTACGGCCCTTTGGCATTCCAGGAGCCAGTGGAACGTCGGTGGAAGCCTGAGCTCGGTTTCAACGTAGTGGAAAACGTCTAAGACATACAGAACTTGAGGCCTTAATCCACAATAATCTGATAAACTGATAACATTGAAATCCATTTTTGATTTGCATTAAACCAAAACACATCAAACACTTTTCCCAGACCTCATTGAGATTCCCTGATACAACAGATATTCAGTTTTATCATCATGAACCTAAACACACTCACACCTCCATCATTTACCTGCACTGCCTCTTACATAAAGTTGTGTCACTAGATCTCGGGACCGTGAAACCCAGAATTGTGGGTCCGAATCCTAATTGTTCACCCTAAAATGTGTAGGTTTGACTGCACCCGTACTCGTGGGTTTCACCAAAGTGATAAACGTCCATGACAGACATGACCTCCATGACACACATCACCTCCATGACAGACATGACCTCAATTACAGACATGACGTCCATGACAGACATGACTGACATGACCTCCATGGCAGACATGACCTCCATGACAGACATGACCTCCATGACAGACATGACCTCCATTACAGACATGACCTCCATTACAGACATAACCTCAATTACAGACATGACGTCCATGGCCTCCATGGCAGACATGACCTCCATGACAGACATGACTTCCATGAGAGACATAACCTCCATGACAGACATGACCTCCATTACAGACATGACCTCAATTACAGACATGACGTCCATGACCTCCATGACAGACATGACCTCCATTACAGACATGACCTCCATGACAGACATGACCTCCATGACAACCTCCATGACAGACATGGCCTCAATGACAGACATGACCTCCATGACAGACATGGCCTCCATGACAGACATGACCTCCATGACAGACATGGCCTCCATGACAGACATGACCTCCATGACAGACATGGCCTCCATTACAGACATGACCTCCAATACAGACATAACCTCAATTACAGACATGACGTCCATGGCCTCCATGGCAGACATGACCTCCATGACAGACATGACCTCCATGAGAGACATAACCTCCATGACAGACATGACCTCCATTACAGACATGACCTCAATTACAGACATGACGTCCATGACCTCCATGACAGACATGACCTCCATTACAGACATGACCTCAATTACAGACATGACCTCAATTACAGACATGACGTCCATGACAGACATGACTGACAAGACCTCCATGGCAGACATGGCCTCCATGACAGACATGACTTCCGTTACAGACAAGACCTCCATGACAGACAAGACCTCCATGACATACATGACCTCCATGACAGACATGGCCTCCATGACAGACATGACCTCCATGACAGACATGACCTCTATGACAGACATGGCCTCCATTACAGACATGACCTCCATGACAGACATGACCTCCATGACAGACATGGCAGACATGACCTCCATGACAGACATGACCTCCATGACAGACATGACCTCCTGACAGACATGGCCTCCATGACAGACATGACCTCCATGACCTCCATGACAGACATGACAGACATGACAGACATGACAGACATGACAGACATGACCTCCATGACAGACATGACCTCCATGACAGACATGACCTCCATGACAGACATGACCTCCATGACAGACATGGCCTCCATGACAGACATGACCTCCATGACAGACATGACCTCCATGACAGACATGACCTCCATGACAGACATGGCCTCCATGACAGACAAGACCTCCATGACTTGCATGACCTCCATGACAGACATGACCTCCATGACAGACATGGCCTCCATGACAGACATGACCTCCATGACAGACATGACAGACATGACCTCCATGACAGACATGACCTCCATGACAGACATGGCCTCCATGAGAGACATAACCTCCATTACAGACATGACCTCCATGACAGACATGACCTCCATGACAGACATGACCTCCATTACAGACATGGCTTCCATTACAGACATGACTTCTATGACAGACATGTCATCCATGACCTCCATGACAGACATGGCTTCCATTACAGACATGACCTCCATGACAGACATGACCTCGGCCTCTCACACACACACGCACACAAACACACACAAACACGCACGCACACACACATGAAGCTGACACGACGTGAGACAACTTGGACACTGCTAAAAGTGGCGTTGGACACAACCCATACACGTCATATGAAACTCAGGTAACCTGTGAAATCCTTTTGGAAGCATCATTAAACAAAACTCGCTCCATCACTCCCTGGTACACAATACAGTACTTACAGCCATTGTTTTGTTTTTCTTTCTTTGATCGAAGTAAACAGCAGACGGTGAGGATAGCAGCCAGTAGGACAAGTGCGCCACCAACAGTTCCACCTAGGATGGTTGTCATGGAAGTCACAGAGGGAGTTTGGGGATTTACCGAGTCCTGGGTTCTGCCTTCAGTCGTATACCCAGCACTGTTTGTATCCGTAGCAGGGGCTGTCGACTCAGTAGTTGCGTCAGGAGTAGAGCCAGGGACACCAGCCGTAGCAGTGACGTGGGATGTTGATTCTGAGACGTTAACAAAATATGAGCAGTGATTACAGATGAAGAAAACGATCAAATATATCAAAAAGCGTTTAGAACATGTTTGTGGTATCCCAGTTCTCTATATCTATTAAAGAGTGACGAAAAGTACAACGTATTGCAATACATAATACGTCTGAATGCACTCTCTGTTAAGAGCCCTACTATGTTGCTATACATGTGATTCCGGCTGGTGGTGAAGTCTAGGTTAATATAGGTTAGTGTTAGAAACAAAAATCGTAATAGTCCTGTCCACGAGAATTGTACCTTTGAGTAAGTCTTAGTGACTGGCAAAAGTTCAGAGAAGACATTTTGGCATAAGGAATAGAAAAATAACAGGTTGAATGTGCAATTGAAACTGTAGGAAACGCTACTCAATATCCTCTGAAGGAAGACGCGGCAGTCGTTGAAATTGTATACAAAGACAACTAGGTTCTCGATTCACTTTGCGATGGTGAGGATACCTTAAGTTGTACCTTATTCGAAAGCGAGTGTTCCATTTGGACATCAAAGCTAGAACACTGATAATGTCAGATAATACCTGTAGCCGATGCCACAACATGGACATGAAGCTTCTGGGTTGTTGATTTTTCGATTTGACACGTCCATGTTCCTTCGTGCTCCTTGCTGATGTTGGAGATTTTCAGAGCATGTTTGGCGCAGTCTTCATTTCCCAATGATAGGCCAGGCAGCGATACTGGTTCTTGGGTTATGTTGCATAACTCTTTGTTGAGCTCCACATACGCAATATAGTCCCGCTGCTTGTCAGTTTTGTACCAGGTGCCTCTATCTGAAACCGCACCTGTACACTCTAATACAACATCACTGCCCGCCTGGACTGTTGTATTTTGATTGACCCGAGATGTCGCTGAGAAAGAAATACAAATCATATAATATCACATTCTGAATCATACCATCACATTATGATTATACGTAACGCCATTAAACCCTCCTGGGGAAAACGTTCATACTATATAGTTGAGGATATATGTGTTTGTTGTTTACCATCGAACCAGACAATGAGTTTGTAACGTCCTGGGTGTATACAGTAGAAATCAATGTGTGGCTCGTCAGTATCAATTGCAGCTATTGCATACTAATTTGTATATGGTGCAAGCGGCACATTACTCCACTGAACCATTTTCCACTGGTGGCCGGGTGGTTGAGGCGAAGCAATTCGTTGTGACGATGTTTCATCACTTGGTCACGACAGAAACCTATGACTGTGGGTTCGAACCAAAGTGGTAACACATGCATTACCTTAGCCTCTCCTCCCAGAGCAAGCCAGAGTTGCGTCCCTTGGTCACGACAGAAACCTATGACTGTGGGTTCGAACCAAAGTGGTAACACGTGCATTACCTTAGCCTCTACTCCCAGAGCAAGCCAGAGTTGCGTCCTTTGGTCACGACAGAATCCTATGACTGTGGGTTCGAACCAAAGTGGTAAGACATGCATTACCTCGGTCTCTACTCCCAGAGCAAGCCAGAGTTGCGTCCCTTGGTCACGACAGAATCTTATGACTGTGGGTTCGAACCAAAGTGGTAACACGTGCATTACCTTAGCCTCTACTCCCAGAGCAAGCCAGAGTTGCGTGCCTTGGAGACGTTTACCACTACGTCTTCGGTGAAATCCACGAGCCCTGGTATGGTGTTGACAAACTTTGAAACACATCTGAACTCCAAATGTAAGCCATCAACTGCCATGGCATGGTAGAAACGTATGAGTATTATTATAGATTCAACTCAAAGAATGCGTATGCATTTTCTTTTTCAAAACTGGATACCACGATCATTTCAGACACATTTTGCTTTTAAAAACACACACATGCACATACATACACACAGACGCACGCACACGCTCACACATGCGCTCGCAATCGCACATAGCTTTAAGAACACGTCGTTGTTGTGGTCTCACTATCGCTGCCATAGAATGAATTATAACTGTTACTACTAAGACAGACGTCAATGGCCAGAAATGAAGCCAAGTAGCAATGCAACCATGCTGACATACGATCGGAATCCCTTGATCAAATTCAAATACAATTTACAGTCGAAACAAGTACATCACGTGACCTGCAATATCTACCTGTAATTACTGCAGTTGTACTGTCCACTCCATGTATCCAGACACACCACCAAAACATGATGACCTGGAATACCTACCTGTAATTACTTTAGGTTTACTGTCCACTCCATGTATCCAGACACACGACCAAAACATGATGACCTGGAATACCTACCTGTAATTACTTTAGGTTTACTGTCCACTCCATGTATCCAGACACACGACAAAAACAAGATTCCAGAATAGACAGGTACTTGTCGAGAATGCATGATGTTGGAATGACAATGTTGTCACAAAACGTTATGTCAATATAAGCCACAAAGATCAATTCCAGTCCAAGAACACCACCAGAACGTGCCAACGGCACCTCACCAAGTAGCGACGGCACTTGGCGATTGTGAAACAGCGAGCGCACCCCGCCCTAGCAGTTGACAAATGAGGATACGTCTGTGAGTTTGTCGATGTCTACCTCAAGAAAACTTTAGAGATTTCAATCCAGGCGCCTAGACCAAGAGAAACACACACAAAATACTAACGTTTCTCCTGACTAACAAAGCTTCATTGTGTCATATTAAGTAGGGTGAAATGAGTGAAACCAGGAAGTATTAGATGAATTATAAAACTATCCTGGCAGTGGGTAACTAAGGTCCTGTGTGGGTGTGAGTGTGTGAGCGTGAGTTAATGTGTCATACAGTATGCATTTGAACACCAACCCGTAAGAGGCCTACTTTTTAACCCAAGGACTCGTGCGATGTTGAACTATCAACCACCCAGATAGCATTCAAACGTTGGCCCAACGTTGGCAATGTTGGCAAAACCATATCTGGGCAACAACAGTTGTACTTGAATGGGACTCAACCCAAAAGTATCAGAATCTGCAAGAGTAAAGAGAAAATATAGCATATGTTACATTTAACATGCTACATGTGACATCTCTCTTTCAGATGGGTAATCACAGAGAGATGGGTAATGAGAATGGTAATGAGATCTTATGCTCGGCATGGACATATGTATCAATATAACTGAACATGTTGATGTTGTTTTATTCTGTGACAGTGTGTAAAATATTTCTAAAATCTGGTGACACAGTAAAATAGGAGTTCACAGCAGGCACGTGCTACACTATGTACACACGAGTCTGTGAGTGTTACATCCGGGTGATAGGACAGGATGACATGATATTCCCCAGCGAAATCCGTGAGCTGCACGGATGTCAGTAGATACAGTTAAGGATGTTACGTTAGGGAAAAAAAATCTGACACTTTTGTGAGGTTAACTTTGTTAACTAATACTAGTATTTTGCAAAGTATTGCTCACTATTGGTGTGTGTGCATAGATTTCCAAAGTGGGTGTATGTGCACAACTTAAACTTTATTTTGAACGTGTCTACATAGATTTGCATTGCAGGTACCACTTTGCTGGTGCAGTGTGTGCGTGCGTGCGTGCGTGCGAGCGAGCGTGCGCTGAGATTCCAGTAATGGTTCCAGGAATGCCTGTGATAGTATTCCACTTGCGTTGGTCGATTCTCATGATGTTAATGACGGGATTGTCTGGTGCAGACTCGATTATTTACAGACCTCTCCACATAGCTGGAATATTAGTAAGTGTGGCGTTAAAAAAAAAATAAATTCAGACACAGTTATACCGGCTCTTGCGTTTAATCCCATGTCAAAATGTATATTTTGACATCTTTTGGTATGGCGCGGCCGGTGAACTGACCACTTACCGAACTCCTACAGAAGTAATAGGTGTGTGTGCACAATGCAGATTATCTTCAATTTTGGAATGAATTCAAACTTCGGGCTCAGGCAAACAGTGGTCGCTATTCACAGTAAAGAGTGCAACAGCACCTGCATTAAAGAGACCCAGTGGTCGCTATTCACAGTACGGTGTATCTCCTGGTCACGCCAGAATGTTCGAATCCTGGTTGTGTAGCTGCACCAAGATTAAAGAGACACGTGACCAAGTGGTCGCTATTCTCAGTGCTGAGTGTATCTCCTGGTCACGCCAGAATGTTCGAATCCCGGTTGTGTAGCAGCACCAAGATTAAAGAGACACGTGATCCAGTGGTCGCTATTCTCAGTGCAGAGTGCATATCCTGGGCTCGTCAGAATGTTCGAATCCTGGTTGTGTAGCTGCACCTAGATTAAAGAGACACGTGACCCAGTGGTCGCTATTCTCAGTGCAGAATGCATCTCCTGGTCACGCCAGAATGTTCGAATCCCGGTTGTGTAGCAGCACCAAGATTAAAGAGACACGTGACCGAATGGTCGCTATTCACAGTACGGTGCATCTCATGGTCACGTCAGAATGTTCGAATCCTGGTTGTGAAGCTGCACCAAGATTAAAGAGACACGTCTCCCAGTGGTCGCTATTCTCAGTGCAGAGTGCATTACCTGGGCACTTCAGAATGTTCGAATCCCGGTTGTGTAGCAGCACTAAGATTAAAAAGACACGTGACACCGTGGTCGCTATTCTCAGTGAAGGAATACCAAGTAGAGGATTTGTCAACAGGAATCCCTAGGCGAGGACTAAGGTGAGACCCAAGGTGAGAATGTGCCTGCAGGAATCCCAAAGCATGTACGTGCCTGCAGGAATCCCAAGGTGAGGATGTGTCAGCAGGAATTCCAAGGCAAGAATCTGTCAGCAGGAATCTAAAGGTGAAGATGTGTCAGTAGAAATCCCAAGGTGAGGATGTGACAGCAGGAATCTCAAGGTGAGGATGTGTCAGGAGGAATCCCAAGGTGAGGATGTGTCAGCAAGAATCCCAAGGTGAGGATGTGACAGCAGGAATCTAAAGGAGAAGATGTGCCAGCAGGATTCCAAGGTGAGGATGTGTCAGCAGGAATCCCAAGTTGAGGATAAGTCAGCAGGAATCCCAAGGTGAGGATGTGTCAGCAGGAATTCCAAAGCGAGAATCTGTCAACAGGAAACAAAAGGTGAAGATGTGTCAGCAGCAATCCTCAAGTGAGAACGTATCAACAGGATTCCCAAAGTGAGGATGTGACAGCAGGATTCACAATTTGAGGATGTGTCAGCAGGAATCCCAAGGTGAGGATGTGTCAACAAGAATTCAAGGTGAGAATGTGTCAGCAGGAATCCCAAGTTGAGGATGTGTCAGCAGGAATCCAAAGGTGAGGATGTTGCAGCAGGAATCCCACGTTGAGGATGTTGCCGCAGGATTCTAAAGGTGATGATGTGACAGCAGGAATCCTCAAGTGAGGATGTGGCAGCAGAATTCCCAAGGTGAGGATCTGTCAGCAGGTATCTAAAGGAGAAGATGTGCCAGCTGGAATCCAAGGTGAGGATATGACAGCAGGAATCTCAAGGTGAGGATGTGTCAGCACGAATCCTAAGGTGAGGATGTGTCAGCAAGAATCCCAAGGTGAGGATCTGTCAGCAGGTAACTAAAGGAGTAGATGTGCCAACAGGAATCTAAAGGTGAGGATGTTGTAGTAGAATTCCCAAGGTGAGGATTTGCCAGCAGGAATCTAAAGGTGAGGATGTGTCAGCAGGAATCCCAAGGTGAGGATGTGTCAGCGGGAATCCAAGGTGAGGATTTGCCAGCAGGAATCCAGAGTGAGGATGTGTCAGCAGGAATCCAAAGGTGAGGATGTGTCAGCGGGAATTCCAAGGCGAGAATCTGTCAGAAGGAATCTAAAGGAGAATATGTGTCAGCAGCAATCCCAAGGTGAGGATGTGTCAGGAGGAATCCTCAAGTGAGAAGGTATCAGCAGGATTCCCAAAGTGAGACAGTGTCAGCAAGAATCCCAAGATGAAGGTGTGTTAGCAGGAATCCCAAGGTGAGGATGTGTCAGCCAGATCCCAAGCTGAGGATGTAAAAGCAAGAATCCAAAGATGAGGATCTCTCAGCAGGAATCTAAAGAAGATGTGCCAACAAGAATCCAAGGTGAGGACGTGTCATAAGGAATCCAAAGGTGAGGATGTGTCAGCAGGAATTCAAGCTGAGGATCTGTTAACAGGATTCCCAAAGTGAGGATGTAACAGCAGGAATCTAAAGGTGAGGATGTGTCAGCAGGATTCCCAAGGTGAGGATGTTTCAGCAGAAATCCCAAGGTGAAGATGTGTCAGCAGGATTCCCAAGGTGAGGATGTAACAGCAGGAATCCAAAGGTGAGGATGTGTCAGTAGGAATTCAAGCTGAGGATGTGTCAGCAGGATTCCCAAAGTGAGGATGTAACAGCAGGAATCCGAAGGTGAGGATGTGTCAGCAGGATTCCCAAGGTGAGGATGTTTCAGCAGAAATCCCAAGGTGAAGATGTGTCAGCAGGATTCCCAGAGGGAGGATGTAACAGCAGGAATCCAAAGGTGACGATGTGTCAGCAGGATTCCCAAGGTGAGGATGTTTCAGCAGAAATCCCAAGGTGAAGATGTGTCAGCAGGACTCCCAAGGTGAGGATGTAACAGCAGGATTCCCAAGGTGAGGATATATCCGCAGGAATCCCAATGTGAGGATGTGTCACCAGGAATAATAAGTTGAGGATGTTGCAGCAGGATTCCCAAGATGAGGATGTGACAGCAGTAATCCTCAAGTAAGGATGTGTCAGCAGGAATCCCAAGGTGAGGATGTGTCTGCAGGGATTCAAGGGGAAGAAGTGGATACAGGAATTCCAAGGTGAGGATGAGACACCCCACAACTAACTTCACACCCCAGTATAAAATTAAATCTCAAAGTCGATCTTTGCTCACAGCGTCAGTCAGTGGATTGTCTGGTCCAGACTCAATCTCAACCAGGACATCTTCTTATAGCTGGAATATTTCTGAGAAAAAATCAAACAGACCAACTATGTATAACTTCCCTGCTGACAACCTTCAACACATCAAGCAACGAGGAAGTCATGTCTAAATTTGAACTACTTTCACGAGTGGAGAGTCGCCAATTGTCTCGTCTGACAAATCAACAGGAAGCTGTGCACATGTCCAAACAGGATCAGGATGTGTACAGTATACTGACAGCCAGCCGGTGTTTAACACAGATACCCCACTCAGGCACAGTATACTGACAGCCAGTCAGTGTTTAACAGAGATACCCCACTCAGGCACAGTATACTGACAGCCAGCTGGTGTTTAACACAGATACCCCACTCAGACACAGTATACTGACAGCCAGTCGGTGTTTAACACAGATACCCCACTCAGACACAGTATACTGACAGCCAGTCGGTGTTTAACACAGATACCCCACTCAGACACAGTATACTGACAGCCAGTCGTTGTTGACACAGATACCCCACTCAGACACAGTTTACTGACAGCCAGTCAGTGTTTAACAGAGATACCCCACTCAGGCACAGTATACTGACAGCCAGTCGGTGTTTAACACAGATACCCCACTCAGACACAGTATACTGACAGCCAGTCGGTATTTAACACAGATACCCACTCAAACACAGTAAACTGACAGCCAGTCGGTGTTTAACACAGATACCCCACTCAGACACAGTATACTGACAGCCAGTCGGTGTTTAACACAGATACCCCACTCAGACACAGTATACTGACAGCCAGTCAGTGTTTAACACAGATACCCCACTCAGACACAGAATACTGACAGCCAGTCAGTGTTCAACACAGATACCCCACTCAGACACAGTATACTGACAGCCAGTCGGTGTTTAACACAGATACCCCACTCAGACACAGTATACTGACAGCCAGCTGGTGTTTAACACAAATATCCCACTCAGACACAGTATACTGACAGCCAGTCGGTGTTTAACACCGATACCCCACTCAGACACTGTATACTGACAGCCAGTCGGTGTTTAACACAGATACCCCACTCAGACACAGTAAACTGACAGCCAGTCGGTGTTTAACACAGATACCCCACTCAGACACAGTATACTGACAGCCAGTCGGTGTTTAACACAGATATCCCACTCAGACACAGTATACTGACAGCCAGTCGGTGTTTAACACAGATACCCCACTCAGACACTGTATACTGACAGCCAGTTGGTGTTTAACACAGATACCCCACTCAGACACAGTATACTGACATCCAGTCGGTGTTTAACACAGATACCCCCCTCAGACACAGTATACTGACAGCCAGTCGGTGTTTAACACAGATACCCAACTGAGACACAGTATACTGACAGCCAGTCGATGTTTAACACAGATACCCCACTCAGACACTGTATACTGACAGCCAGTCGGTGTTTAACACAGATACCCCACTCAGACACAGTAAACTGACAGCCAGTCGGTGTTTAACACAGATACCCCACTCAGACACAGTATACTGACAGCCAGTCGGTGTTTAACACAGATATCCCACTCAGACACAGTATACTGACAGCCAGTCGGTGTTTAACACCGATACCCCACTCAGACACTGTATACTGACAGCCAGTTGGTGTTTAACACAGATACCCCACTCAGACACAGTAAACTGACATCCAGTCGGTGTTTAACACAGATACCCCCCTCAGACACAGTATACTGACAGCCAATCGGTGTTTAACACAGATACCCCACTCAGACACAGTATACTGACAGCCAGTCGATGTTTAACACAGATACCCCACTCAGACACTGTATACTGACTGCCAGTAGATGTTGAACACAAATGCCCCACTCAGACAAAGTATACTGACAGGTAGTCTCAGTCCCTGAACCATATTATATTCCTGCAATGCTAAAGCCCTCAATGAAGCAAGTGTAGATTTCCGCAGGTTCTGAATCTCTGGTCTCCCTGGGGCTCCTTTTCAATTTAAATGGGTTTATTTGTTAGATGAAATATATAAGTGTTAGTCTAACTGACAACCAGCCGGTGTCTGTTTTGTCCCTTCCATGCTAGGCGCCAACAGAGTAATACCAAGACCGATCTCATACATGTGATGATACAACACTGCCGTCTAAGCAGGTGCTTTATCCACAAGCATGAAGGCAGTTCCAAGCTGTATAAAGTGTGAGAGGTTGTCAGTGTTAATGCTGCACAATTGATAGCTGGGTTCTTTCATTTGGTGTTTGACATCCAACAGAACCAGCATCATCCACGACAAATTGTCTTCCAAGATATTGCTGGAATATTGCTAAAAGGGACGTAAGACAAACTCTGTCCAGCAGTAATAACACGGGCAATATAGGCTTGCAGTAGGAAACAACCACAGCCATTAGCAAACTGGTTTCACTTGCCAGTACGAGATTGGAAATCTCATTCCGCATCCTAAGTGTTCAACAGTTGGATCCTGAGTTTCCACACAACACGTCGTCTAATGGGAAAACAGGTTTGGGTGGTCATTCTTCATGACTTGGTTGAAGAAGAGTCTATAAATCCTGGTGTAGATATCAGCTCATGCTATCACTGGATTGTTTGGTCCACATCTGATACAGCTGGAATATTACAACATATGCCATAGATGGATCTAGAGGGGGGGTGCAGGGTTGCGCATCCCCCCTTTTGTCCTGAAAGTTTATTTAATGACCACTGAAACTTGGTGAAAACGAAGTGTGCACCCCCCATTTCTCAAAAAGCTGTATCCGCTCCAGTGTCCAAATTAACAAAAAACAACGAGTTAACATATTGTATCTCCTGTTTATCATGTTTACAGTCCCATTAATATAATGGATGCATTCAGGTTTAACATGAAGCCACAAATGTTAGCTTAGTCCGCATTATATACACCACTGAATACTGTAGCACACACTCGGGGAACACACATCTCTCCCAAACATACAGGTGGTAGGTTCTCTCCCTCTCTCAACACAATATATATATATAAGATATTATATGAGTGCCCATGTCATACTATATTTACGACACGAGTGCCTAAATGTTGGTATTTCACCGAGTGAGAGCGAGGGATATAGGCACGAGTGTTGTAAACAGAGTATGATATGGGCACAAATATAATATTCTGTTCGCAGTCGTCAAATTGAGGAAAATAAACCCAAATCTACTTTCAAACATAGGCTGGCTAACTGCCTTCGCCGCATGTAGAACAAAATTTCACAGAAGAAACGTGACGTCATAGCATTGTCCATGATGTCACGTCACCGTGAGAAAGTGATATTTTGCCTTAGGGCATCGTATGAAAAATATGAACCCCGATATTTTCGTCCTCGTTGGTAATAATATACAATATGTATTGCATGCACTCACATGCACATGCATGCACTCACACTCATATGCATGTACACACTCACTCACTCAAACTACTCCTCTTTGAGGGTGATAACCATGCATATTCTATTTAAATATATTAAAAGATATATTGTGAGAATAATTTTTGTGTTTTATGTTAAGATAAAATATCCCTTTAAAATTGGAGTATCTCTAACAGCAGACTTCACAATGCAACATTATAATGAGCCATAAATATGGTGGGAACTTTGTTGTACCCGATCAATCGGTGGTTTCTAATGACAATAACATGTGTCTGACTATCGGGAATAAAACAATTTGACAGCAACTTCATTTTCATGATATATTTAAAGCAAAAGTAACCTGCACTTCATCAGTAATTGCCAGTGATGATATAGAAGTACCTGGGATAAATCTTCACCACACTTTTACCCAAAGACAGACCACCAACTTAACACCCACAAAAGAGAGCCTGACTGGGTTGATCATAAAGGAACAAGACCTTGGTTAAATATTCTGGACCTTCAAGTCAGGTTTAAATTACATCCAACAGTTTAATAAGTGGAACTATATCGTGACTACTACAACTACCACAGCTGAATGAAGTGTGAGGACAGCTAGAGGACTAAGTTGTGCCCTCTTGAACCAGAGGTGGCACATGGTTTATCATCATCTTCTGTGTCTCAACTTTTTCCAGTTCTACAGTGCCAGCCCACTAAGACACTGTTCAGCATAGATACCCACTTGGACACAGTATACACCAAGCTAGCGAGTCCTGGTTGTCTCCCCTTGAGGCCAAGAGACGAGAATTCACTGTGCATGTAAAATGGGCTTAAGTGTTAGTCTAACTGACAACCAGCCGGTGTCTGTTTTGTCCCCTCCATGCTAGGCGCCAGCAAAGTAATAACAAGACTGATCTCATACATGTGATGATACAACACTGCCGTCTAAGCAGGTGTTTTATCCACAAGCATGAAGGCAGTTCCAAGCTGTATAAAGTGTGAGAGGTTGTCAGTGTTAATGATAGCTGGGTCAGAAATCAAACATAGTATTAATTTTATTGACGGTGTAAAAGAATGATAATTGTTCATTTCTGATATTACTCCTCTCCTGGTTTCATCTACTTCTTTGGTGATTTGGTCAAGAAGAAATATATTTTCACACCAATCAGTCATCAAGCTGTTTTCAGTGCACCATTCCTTCCATTTAATCCAGCGTTATTCAGCAGCAATAACATCCTTTGACACATGCACACGTGTATGACAGTCTCATTCAACCATTAAATATACACACACAATAAGCTGTCTCCAACCACAACATATCTGTCCTTCATTGGCTGGATCCAAGGGACAAAACTCTGGGCTTGCACCTCAAATTGTCTCCCTTTGACAGTGGAAAGACGGATGGGTCAATACTGTCGCTCCTTCACATGATCACACACTGGTCTGTCATCCCCGGCAACTTGGGCATCCCATTGTCATCAAATTCTAAACCTGGTGCCTGAAATAAAACAATTAATTCATTATTTCCTTCAATATGGTTATGGGTTTTGATAGAGTCAAGGTATTTGAAGGAATTATGTGAATAACCTATTTTCAGAATATGACTAATTCTAATGGCTGTTTAAACCACACTAACAGTTAAGCTCTGATGAATTTTGTAGAACACATTGATTACACTAATCATTAATTTGGAGATAAAATATCAATATGAAGCCATGCTTAATAGTCAGCAAAATTCCAGCCAACTGCCATGTGAGGTTGACATTTACATGAAGGTCAGATCATGTGTGTGCGAGAGATAGAAACTTCTCTTCAAGAAAGAACACAACTTACCATCTCTCCAACAATTTCCTTTGGGGGCTGCCCCAACTCTTGCATCTAAATCAGAAAAATGAAAAGATGAAATTCTTAAAATTTGTAGATATCCTACATCAGTGGCAAGACATTCCATATTTGGTTTACAGATTTCTCTAAAGCTAAATAACTTAATCCTGTTAATGACAAGAACCAGGCAGGGAAACCAAACCATTTCCAGTATCTTTTTAGTGTCTTTTGTCTGACTACCATCAATGGAGGCACCTGAGATGAACTGAAGTGTGTGGGGAACCGGGAGGCAACTGTGATTAGCTGGAGGTGCAAATAGCCCTCTTATTGGCCCGCTTCCCCACAAAACTATAAAACCAACCAGCCAGTGGCCATATGCATATGTTGGGAGTAACTTCTAGTAAAGGCATAAGTAAAATGTGCACCTGGGCGTACCGTTAAACCGGTATGCATATCTTAGACGTAGCTAAAGTTCCGCCAGGCGGAGTGCTTCATCTTTACACCACCTACCCAGCAGGTGTAAGCCAGGCGTAGCCCTGTAATGACAGCAGTCGTATACCGATATCGCAGACGACAGTTCTACAGAGACCGTATATTTAGAGATGGGTCAAAAACCTTTAGAAATATACTACGACCCTGATCTGTACAGAATATTTAGATTCAGGACAAATGACATTTTCAAGATAGTGAATACAATCAGAGGTGATATTGATTATATTTCCAACCAAAACGAACCCGTAGCACTGAAATTGTTTCATGCCTCTTACGGTAGTTTAAAAAACGTTTGAAAATCTACAAATAGCACACTGCGCCTGGACGTAAATCCGTTAAGTCGGGCATAGTAACACCTTGGCAAAACCGACGTTGCACATGACGTGTAAAGCACATGACGTGCTGCTAAGCCCAACGTAGTGTGTTACGCCTGAAGTTAACTGCGCCCGATATGTGCATACGGCCACAGGTGTTTGGATAACAAGGGAGGTGGTGTGTGGTGTGTAACAGTAACTCAGTGTGTGGACTGTAAACTGTGATAAGTTGGTGGGGGAACAGGGGAGATGGGTGGGGAGCTGGGTAGGAACAAGTGAAAGAACAGTAAGTGTGGAGGTGGGTGCAGAGCAAGGGAGATAACTGTAGGATGTGAACAAGGGAGAGTTGAGTTGAGTTGGGGTTTACGTCACATCGGCATTTTTCCAGCCATATAGTGACCAGCTGACTAAAGTGCCAGGCTAGTGATCCAGCGAGGTTGAGGTTTGGGGATCGAGCCCACCTGTGACCGGGTGTAAAAACCTTGAAGTCATCTTTGTGTGCAGACTCTTTCAATGTTGTCACAACCCCTAGTGTACAGTACACAACCCTGTGCACTTAAAAGAACCCACGAATAAGTTGGTATATGACCAGATGGTGGCCACATGAATATGTGTAAACAACGTGCAGTGAACTTGGACAAAGTACTGTGACTATGTGTCCCAGTCCACCCAGCTCAGAATGGGTACCTCGTTAGGATGAGAAAGCCACAACAACTCGGTGCGCCTAGTGGCTGCAACAGTTGTATACTCCCCAGGGCGTTGAGACTGATAATACGATGTGCCACGAGATTGACATCCAATGATCGAGGAGAAAAAAAAATACCAGCGCCTTGAGATGCACTAGTTGCGTGGATATGTGCGCTATATAAATATCCTATGCTAATAGTAATACTTATACTAAGATCACAATAACGGAGAGGGCAGTGAGGACCTGGGTGGGGAACAAGGGAAGGGAGACAACTGCGACAGAGCTGGGTGGGGAACAAGGGAGTGGAGACAACTGCGACAGAGCTGGGTGGGGAACAGGGAGGGAGGAGAGTGGGGAACAAGGGAGTGGAGCAAACAGAGCTGAGTGGGGAACAAGGGAGGGAGACAACTGCAACAGCTGGGTGGGGAACAAGGGAGTGGAGACAACTGCAACAGAGCTTGGTGGGGAACAAGGGAGGGAGACAACTGAGACAGCTGGGTGGGGAACAAGGGAGTGGAGACAACTGCAACAGAGCTGGGTGGGGAACAAGGGAGTGGAGACAACTGCGACAGAGCTGGGTGGGGAACAAGGGAGGGAGACAACTGCGACAGAGCTGGGTGGGGAACAAGGGGAGGGAGACAACTGCGACAGAGCTGGGTGGGGAACAAGGGAGGGAGACAACTGTGACGGAGCTGGGTGGGGAACAAGGGAGGGAGACAACTGAGACAGCTGGGTGGGGAACAAGGGAGGGAGACAACTGCGACAGAGCTGGGTGGGGAACAAGGGAGTGGAGACAACTGCAACAGAGCTGGGTGGGGAACAAGGGAGGGGAGACAACTGCAACAGAGCTGGGTGGGGAACAAGGGAGGGAGACAACTGCGACAGAGCTGGGTGGGGAACAAAGGAGGGGAGACAACTGCGACAGAGCTGGGTGGGGAACAAGGGAGGGAGACAACTGCGACAGCTGGGTGGGGAACAAGGGAGGGACACAACTGCAACAGAGCTGGATGGGAACAAGGGAGGGGAGACAACTGCGACAGAGCTTGGTGGGGAACAAGGGAGGGAGACAACTGAGACAGCTGGGTGGGGAACAAGGGAGTGGAGACAACTGCAACAGAGCTGGGTGGGGAACAAGGAGAGGGAGACAACTGCGACAGAGCTGGGTGGGGAACAAGGGAGGGAGACAACTGCGACAGAGCTGGGTGGGGAACAAGGGAGGGAGACAACTGCGACAGAGCTGGGTGGGGAACAAGGGAGGGAGACAACTGGACAGCTGGGTGGGGAACAAGGGAGGGAGACAACTGAGACAGCTGGGTGGGGAACAAGGAGGGAGACAACTGCGACAGCTGGGTGGGGAACAAGGGAGTGGAGACAACTGCAACAGAGCTGGGACAAGGGAGTCGAGACAACTGCGACAGAGCTGGGTGGGGAACAAGGGAGGGGAGACAACCGCTGACAGAGCTGGGTGGGGAACAAGGGAGTGGAGACAACTGCGACAGAGCTGGGTGGGGAACAAGGGAGTGGAGACAACAGCGACAGAGCTGGGTGGGGAACAAGGGAGGGGAGACAACTGGCGACAGCTGGGTGGGGAACAAGGGAGGGGAGACAACTGCAACAGAGCTTGGTGGGGAACAAGGGAGGGGAGACAACTGCGACAGAGCTTGGTGGGGAACAAGGGAGGGGAGACAACTGCAACAGAGCTTGGTGGGGAACAAGGGAAGGGAGACAACTGCAAAAAAGCTGGGTGGGGAACAAGTGAGACAACAGTGAGGAGCGGCCGGGGAATAAGGGACACAACTTTGAACAAGGGAGATATCTATGAACAAGGGAGACAACTGTGAACAATGGAGAACATTCGTGACCAACTCGTGTTATTCAGGGACAAGCCGAACAGCGACTCATGCCCCTCTGGAAGGATTTCATATTGGCGCATGAACATCAGAACTACGTTAAATAAGAACGATAACTCTATTCCTGTTTGATTCCAATGTTACTTAACATCACCGAAGCACTTGTACATTGTATTGCTGTTTACTTTACTTGCTACTTTTTACTTGTTTATTTTAAAGAATTAAACTTCTTTGATACAACTAAAAGAAGGAGAATGAAGGTCAAGGTCACCAAACCTGACTGGGACCTTTCTTATACCGCGATGAACCTAGGTACCAAATATGACAAGAATCTAGTCAACGGTTTTTAAAATATTCCAATTCGTCCGTACGTATGTACGGATGGACGGAGCCTAATACTATATATCCCCGCTTCGAGGGATAAACCCGCAGCAGGGAATAAAAACATATTCATTAAAGACATTATTCTAATGTAATTATTACCAGCTGTTCACCTTATATTTCCAATTATGTTAATTTTCTAAATAGGGTTTAATAATCACAAATGGGAATTGTTTTATTTAATATGCCAATAAAAGTTTTAAAATTTCAGCTACATAAAATCCCAAAGCACATACTCAAGAGTGACTATAAAATATTTCTCAAACTGAACAATTGTGTAATTTTGCTGTCATACGCCTGGTGGAATTTTAAATGAAATCGCTGAAAAAAATATGAATGACCAATAAAAAAGTCAGAAAAAGTCAGACTAAAATGTCCCCAGAGATTAAAGTTGATTAGTTACATACACATATAATATTATTGTTTTGAAACTCGTAACGATATATAATTACATTTCCTAACATTGTTGGAAGCCCACGTACAATCTCCATAACAAGCCCGCCAGATCATCAGAAATACACTCAGTTGGACCCATGAGAGCCGTTATGTCAACAAACGCATGTGCATGTATTTGAATCTCTCACCGTCAATCACATGATTCTTATTAAAAATGTCCTAATAGGTAGCAAAATCTTGTTAGCTACGTTCTTTGTACTTTCAATATGACGATATATATTTTCATGATTTTTTAAACAATGACATAATACCATAAAGTACTCGGGATTATTTTTATCAAAGCACCGCAGTCATTTATGCACGTTCTGATTGTTTTGGACGAGTCTTCTTGGAGGTTACGGAAAGGGACAAGTGGTGACGAGTGAATGGAGAACTGTAAAACAGGGGAGACAACAGTGAGGAGCATGCCACCCACCTTCTGCATGAGGTCCATAAGTTTCTCAAAGCGCTGGGACTTGATTTCCTCTGTATCGGTAGGAGTCTCCGCCTCAAACTCCACACAGATGCTGGAGATGAGGTGGTGCTGGCGGCGATACGTGTCTAGTGACGTGGCTGGCTCTGTGTCCTTGTGCTCCTCCAGCCATTTAGGGTACTAAATAATCATAATTATGTTGTTCAGATGCCATGCCCTTGTTTTTTGTTTGCACCAGTCCAGAATAGTTCACTTATACAATGGCAGCCTGTATCCAGCCACGACCAGACAATCCAGTCATTATGAGCTTCAAGCCACACTACGAGATATGAAACATGCATTCACCAAGCCAGTGAGTCCGATCACCAGATCCTCTCAGACTGACTGACTGAGTTTCGTTTTTATGCCGCTTTTAGCAATATTCCAGCAATATCCCGGCGGGGGACACCAGAAATGGGCTTAACACATTGTGCCCATGTGGGGAATCGAACCCGGGTCTTCGGCGTGATGAGCCAACGCTTTAACCACTAGGCTACCCCACCGCCCCAGATCCTCTCAGAACAGGCATCAGTTACTGAAGGCCAAAACTAACACAGGCCCTTGTATTCACAACAGCATCTCTTGTACCCATTCCTCACTATCACAGCAGTCTGCTTTTACGTGTTTTCAAATAAACAGCAAACTATCTGCTGTTATCATGACATTATTTTTCATTATCTAATTTCTTAAGAGCTGTATGTCAGAGGGTCATTGATGGGAGGACTGAACATTTTTCAGTTCAACATTGTATCTTGAGGACGTAATGGAGTGGCAAAAAATCGGAGACTGTAACCAATCTGTGAAAATCACCCTAAATCAGTGAGGAAAACTTATGAATTTGGATACAGACACAGATGATTAGCCTCCGCAAAGCAGTGATACAAACAAACCACCAAAGTTTTTACAGGGATGCAACTCGGCACAGCAATTAGCTCCTGTTTCAAATGTGGCCATAGTAGGAAGACTGAGCTCACCTTGTCCGATATCTCCTTGAGAGAAGGGTATAGGACATCCTTGGACAGCAACATCTTCATCATACCGTGCATCATGGGAAACATGTCTCCGCCCGGCCCCGCCCCTCCACCGCCTCCCACCCATGTTTGTGAAGGCCTGTGATAGCTCCTCCTCTGACATTTGTTGCTGTGGTTATAAATGTGTTATAACCAGATGAATATACTTGACAATGTTGATATAACATGGTCATGTGTGTTATAACCAGATGAATACACGACAGACACTGTTGATATAACAAGGTCATAAAGTGTGTTATAACCAGATGAATATACCTGACAGACATCATTGATATAACATGGTCATAATGTGTGTTATAACAAGATGAATATACCTGACAGACATCGTTGATATAACATGGTCATGTGTGTTATAACAAGATGAATATACTTGACACTGTTGATATAACATGGTCATAATGAGTTTTATAACCAGATGAATATACCTGACAGACACTGTTGATATAACATGGTCATAATGTGTGATATAACCAGATGAATATACCTGACAATGTTGATATAACATGGTCATAATGAGTTTTATAACCAGGTGAATATACCAGACAGACACTGTTGATATAACATGGTCATAATGTGTGATATAACCAGATGAATACACCTGACAGACACTGTTGATATAACATGGTCATGTGTGGTATAACCAGATGAACACATGACAGACACTGTTGATATAACAAGGTCATAATGTGTGTTATAACCAGATTAATATACCTGACAATGTTGATATAAACATAATGTGTGTTTGTTAACCAATAAACATTTTTCCCTGAAACTAACCATGTTTCTGTAACATGGTATCAACATGTTATAACCTGAAAGATAATCTCTCTCTGACAGGCACTATGTTATAAACATGTTACAAACATACCTCCTTGAGACATACCATGTTTCCATAGCATCCTATAAACCCATGTTATAACCAGATACAAATATCTCCTCCACATTCACTATATAATGCTGTAACATAAAGGTGTCATAACAGATACACATATCGCCACAGCTATACAGCTGCACATCTATTAAAACCTCATCAACCTTCTGCAGAACAATCCCCCCCACACACACCTGTAGCGTCTCTGCGTTCTCAGCCATCCCCGTCAGTGTCTGTCCAAGGGTCTTGGCAAACTCTTGCTGGGCCTCTGCTGAGTCCCCTAAAACAGTTCCACAAATACATTAGCTGTCATCAGCCATTGAAACTAGTGTCTGTTTATAGGAACAAACATATCTTACAAACACCTACATACAACACAGTGGGTGAGTTTAGTTGCGGCGTTGCAGTTACAGTTCTTCAGATCAGCACTCAGCAATATGTGGCAGCGGTCTATAAATAATCGAGTCTGGACCAGACAATCCAGTGATCAACAGCATGAGCATTGATCTATGCAATTTGGATACAATGACATGTGCCAATCAAGACAGCGAGCATGATCACCTGATGCCGTTAGTCGCCTCTTGCGACAAGAATGAGTTTCTGAAGATTTCTGCCTAGAGAAGATGGGTTGTGTACATGTGGGTTGTGTACAGATGGGTTGTGTACAGATGGGTTGTGTACAGGTGGGTTGTGTACAGATGGGTTGTGTACAGATGGGTTGTGTACAGATGGGTTGTGTACAGGTGGGTTGTGTACAGATGGGTTGTGTACAGATGGGTGTGTACAGATGGGTTGTGTACAGATGGGTTGTGTACATGTGTGTTGTATACATGTGGGTTGTGTACAGATGGGTTGTGTACAGGTGGGTTGTGTACAGATGGGTTGTGTACAGATGGGTTGTGTACAGATGTGTTGTGTATAGATGGGTTGTGTACAGATGGGTTGTGTACAGATGGGATGTGTGCAAGTGAGTTGTGTACAGATAGGGTGTGTGCAGATGGCTGTGTGCAGGTGGGTTGTATACAGGTGGGTTGTGTACAGGTGGGTTGTGTACAGATGGGTTGTGTACAGATGGGTTGTGTACAGGTGGGTTGTGTACAGGTGGGTTGTGTACAGATGGGTTGTGTACAGATGGGTTGTGTACAGATGGGTTGTGTACAGGTGGGTTGTGTACAGGTGGGTTGTGTACAGATGGGTTGTGTACAGATGGGTTGTGTACAGATGGGTTGTGTACAGATGGGTTGTGTACAGGTGGGTTGTATACAGATGGGTTGTGTACAGATGGGTTGTGTACAGGTGGGTTGTGTACAGGTGGGTTGTATACAGATGGGTTGTGTACAGATGGGTTGTATACAGATGGGTTGTGTACAGATGGGTTGTGTACAGATGGGTTGTGTACAGATGGGTTGTATACAGGTGGGTTGTATACAGATGGGTTGTGTACAGATGGGTTGTGTACAGATGGGTTGTGTACAGGTGGGTTGTGTACAGGTGGGTTGTGTACTGACCTGCATTGCCAGCAGCATCGGCCAACTTCTCAATCTGCTGCATCATATCCGGGTCCTGCGACATGAACGCTTTCATCGCCTCCTCAAACTGGTTGGCCATCTCATCTGCAACCTCCTCCGATATAGCATCGTCCTGGCCTTGACCTCCACCGAACATTTTTGCTATGTCCGCCTTCAAAAAACCAAGCAAATTAATGGTTTCAAATGAAATATTTCTTTCATTAATTTTTCTCTTTCCTCTGATGACTGTTAATCAGGCCTTAGTTAGATAGATAGACAGATAGATTATCTTTATTTCCTCCAAAAATATGAAGATTGTTTCATGTTACAAAAAAGTGTCAAGTTGAATATACAATGACCCAGTAGACAGTTAATTGTGCAGACATTTTAGAGTGACAGACTGACATAAACTCAGCCACTAATAACATAACTTCCGCCCATTCTGTCATATTTAAGTTACCAAGTGTTGTACAAGATCCACCAAGTAAATCAGCAATTATTACATCGTCATCATTTTCCCAAAAGTCAATAAAATCAGATATTGATATAATATCACAAATCCTTTCAAACATTTCATTTCTCAAATCATTAAGATGTGTACAGGACATAATAACATGTTTAACAATATCAGAAGCTACTATTCCACATATACACTCTCTGGATTCAATCTTTTTACAGCCAATGTGAATAATATGAGAGAGTTTGTAAAATTTAGGCTTTTTAATCAAGGCTAGTTCCCACAGTCTACTTGGATTAAAAGGCTCTTGGATAAGGCAATATCTGGAGAGATCCTCTCTCACTGCTATCTGATGACACAACAGACTCTCGTAAGCATCACAGATTCTGGATTTAACAATATCATTCCATTTTGCTTTAGTAGATATAACCCCTGTTGTGATGTATGTATTAACAGTGTCAAACAAGCCATACTTGTTTACGAGCTTAACCATGTACAGGATAGGTGACGGGGATTTACCAATGATAGTCATACATCTGGATTCAAATAGACGATGGAGAAATAATTGTTTAACAACATAGGCATCATTTAGACGGCAGATTCTACCAAACATAAGCAAACAAGATTTTTCTATATACCCTTGAATTGGCAGTAGGCCCAGGGTATCTAGAACCACAGGAGAAGCAGTGCTTAGGCAGACCTTGTACCTTTCTACAGAAATACCTTTGTGTTAACTCCAACACGCCCAATTCTTTTGACGTTAAGCTGCTCCAGACAGTACAACCATATAAAGCACATGGTAAAATGACATTGTTCCATATACGACAAGCACAAATAGGATTGAGAGAACCATAGCACAAGCCAAGGTCATGATACATATTAACCAGTTTACGTGCTTTTTCACATGATGACATTGTTCTATCATACGATTTATGACATGAAGACAACTGAACTCCAGCGTACGTAACAGATTGCATGAGAGGGATGGCCACAGAACCGAGATACAGACTAACTGGTGTAAGATATCTGTCTGTATTGAATACAAGCAAGGCACTTTTACTGACGTTATACTTCAATTTCCACTTCAAACCATAATCGTACACAGCTTCTAGAAGAGTCTGAGAATTATGTGGATTGCTGGAGGTTGATACTTGCTTGACAACGATACAAGAATCTGTATCGAAACATCGCATCATTCGAATAAAGAAGTTGTTCATCCATAAAGTTTTGTCCTTATCTGATTCTCCAACTTCTAAACATGCCACTCAAAGAAGAAAGTTGTCTGTAAGCAGACAAGCACTTCATGTGTTTCAGTATGGGTCAGGGACAAAAGCATACAAGGTCTCTGTAGCTCAGGGGCCAAACATAGTCATCCATCTGCTACTCTTCCCCACCAGAGTTGCTCTTCTTCCTCTGATCTGTCACCTTTTTTCACTACTTCAGTACAGAGGACCACATATATTTCTAAATCCCTGTGGAGTATCTCACCGGGCTGGGCATGGCACCTGCTCCACCGGCAGGGGCTGGTAACGAGGTGTCAACATCACTGCCATCACCCACTTGCCTGGCAACTGGCTGGTCTGTCTTGTCAAAGTCCTCCAAGGCACCTAAACATAAGATACATAATTCACTCACCACCACTTCAACCAACATGCCATAAAGTATGGAGGAAATAAGGAACAAAACTAAAACAGTAATAATTATCATTGACTGTACAGTTAGTTATATTTTGTCATATACAACTTTCATGCTGATTTGAATTTGTAATAATGTTTTAATCATTTTAAATAAATATCTAAACGGTTTATACTGATGTTGAGCATGTTAAGTAAAATTATGAATAAAATGAAAGAATGACTACAGTTTAAGCAAATAATAATGATGACATAAATGATTCTCAGCTACTATCTACTCATGGTCCATCAGAATCAATCAGAATCAACGACACGTTTACTACCAGGTACTGGATCAATCACTATTTATAATCAATCAGAAGGATATAAGAGCATGCTATTAGATAGACTTATTATGTATATAATTTCATGTATGTTTTCACTGTCATTTAGGTTGTCGGTGGATTAAAATAAATTAGTCTACTCATCGAAAACAGGTTGCACTGAGTTGATGTGAATGTTAATAAGGAAGTGGTGAGTTGTTTTGATTGTGAAACACTGTGTGTATATTGAAGTGTTTGTTAATTACTTTGTCGGTGACCCACCTTATCCTTCTTCTCTACTGCTACTTCTCTGCTGGTCTGCGTAGTTGAATGTTGATAATTGATGGGGGGGGTTTCACACTGATCATACTTACCTAATATATATATTATTTTTTTTAACTAATGAATTTTATTTTTTGTTACTTCACAAAACTCAATTTAATTTATTAGTGGCCTGGAAGTCGTCCCATAGGCGGAAGAAGTTATCAGACCTGGCCGAAGCATGTTTTTTTTTCATTACTGATCATACTTACCTAATATATTTTTTTTATTTCACAAAACTCAAACACTTTTGGTTTACACTAAATACCCTAAAAGTCATAACATCCATTTTAATTATCAATGATGTTGAAGTTTCCCCATTTTACTAACATCGACGTATCCACCGGATTTCCACGTCTACGAACCAGTCTGGGCTACGAATTCACCTACAGCCTTGTAGTCTATCTCAAAGTATACATAACATATAACAGTACAATATTATCAACTGAGTTTGGTACAAAAAAAACTAAAAGAAAATAATGCAAACCACATGATTATTGCGAGTAAGTCTTAGTGCATTTCTTTTCAATATATTGTAGATCTACATGTGAGATGTGGCAGTGCAGCAGTAGCAAATCGTGTGTACACTGATTTCATGGATTTTATCCAAAGTTACAAAACTAGCAGCAAATAAAATAACAAATAAACGTGAAAATGTATGCGAATGATCAACGTTACATTCATATTAAAAACAAGCCCAAAACAAGCATGATACACTAAGGTGTGAATTCTGCAAATCATGTCCACAAATTATTCGCATCGCATCACAGCAGACACAACTTTGATTGATATCTGACAAAAAACGTTTCCTAATCACGTGACACTCACTATCTAGGAGATCATTTAGTTCGCTGTCTTCGTCTGGTTTTGCTTCAGATGACGATTGTTTATTTTCGGTCTGTTTATCAACGTTTTCATCCCCCAAAGGAGTCACGTTCTGACCCTTGTCCGCCATGACAGTTTCAGTGCCACCTAGCGGGCCGCTTCCAACAATCAACAAACCTGTAAAAGTGAATATCTATAGGGCATGTATTTGTCTCCCTTTACACGATTAACTGGCGTATGTGCCTGCGAAGTACTGATACAGAAATGATAGGCTGTGTTTTGCCTTGTGCTTATTTCAGTTTTTAACACAACTCTATTTGGTTTGGTATATTTTTTTCTGTTTTACGAAAATCTAGCTAAACGAACTTACCTTAGACCACATTATTCAGAAAGTAGACCACATTATTCAGTGAAATGGGCCGAATATAACATTGGGATGCTAAGTCAAATGGGCCGATGGGACAAATGGGGTGGTGAGAAGGGCCGTGAAAAATTATTAGCCTTCATCTTCGGCTGAACAAAAAAACGTTTACTAATGTTTTTAATTTTTGATTGACATATACGGCAGTAAAACATAATATCATAACAATAATCAATCAGTAATGAAACATACCAAGCATGTATTGGCATTTAATGTACACATACTTCATAATGTAATACTTCACTAAAAATGTAGCCAGTAAAATCTTCATAACATCGTAAGCACTAGCGGTTAAAGCGTTCGCTCGTCACGCCGAAGACCCGGGTTCGATTCCCCACAAGGGTACCATGTGTGAAGCCCATTTCTGGTGTCCCCCGCCGTGATATTGCTGGAATATTGCTAAAAGCGGCGTAAAACTAAACTCACTTAAGCACTAAAATACCACTAAAGTTTAAGGTTCATTCCAACATGTTTCAGTTCCTTCAAAAATTTAATCAAACACACATGGAGCATAAACTCTTGAGCCCATTGTCAGAAGCGCAGTTGGGCTGAGTTCTCCTTCTTTGTACAGCCGCCAAGCAGCGAAGATTTCCGACTGGTCAGCAGATCTGAAGCAGACTTCTTCACAAATCTTGTGAGTTTTCCATCATGGAGGAGCTGGGCGTGGAGTGGCAGGAGACTGGCTTCTTTGTGAAGAGCAGGAATCAACTTTTACAGGCCCAATTGTTGATCCGATGTGCTTACATTCATCCAGCGATGCCAACCAAAAATTTAAAAGATATTTGTTAAATATCATATATTTTTGGTTCGATTTGACATTTGAATATTGTATATATATTATATAATATATTTAATATTTTTTTAATCATTATTCGATTTAAGGATAGTATTACACACATAACTTTATATTTAACTATATATACCTTCAACATTGTTGTTGGTGCGGACTGACGGGTTGAAGACTGACCATTGTGAAGATGGAGTAATCGATCCACTGTTTATGCATGTAGTCACAGACCTTTTAATATTGGTTAGTCTTGCATACAGCTACTTTTTGTCTTTCAGTTCCCCACATGGGTTGCTTTAATTTCTGTAAAGGAAAAAAAAGTCCTCGGTAAAAAAGTACATTTTGTGATTATAACGGACAGATTAGATATTCAAATCGATCTTTGATCTTTAAAACAATGATTTCAAAGGCATGCGTTGTATGTAAGTACATTTACATGAAGTACTTACATTTTCGTGAGTATACATTAATATTCATCAGTATTAACCTCTCCAATGTATACGAAATCTGTCTGTTTTACATTTGTTGTATGAATATATCAATAAACGCTATGAAAAATTATGAAATACTTTATGTTCTTTTGTAAAAAATCGCCTTTTTCAAAATAGGACTTTTTTCCTAGATCAATTTAGGACTTTTATTCCTGTACTTTTTTTCCGAAGACATTTTGTCCGCACACCCCCGGCCCATTATACAGGTACAGGGTATGATCAGTACAGTTGTAACATAAGCGCTGTATAAAACACACGTACATAGAGAACACCAGTGTAACTCAGATACTATTCACAGATATCCCTTTGAAACAGGAATCACGTTTCATAGCAGCAAGAAATATATATTTTGCCAGATTCTTGCATATGTTTTGATTAGTGGATCAAAATAACAAGACCATTTTCTCGCGAGTTGGGAACATATAATAATACTGAGGTATAAGATTGGATCGCAGATCAAGGTAAAATGGGCACACGAGGCAAAAGTGAAATTCATCCTCGACAACTGGTATAATACAAAACGGGCAAACACGTTTATTTCGTGGAATTTTATAATATCTGCCCGTTTCTGTTACAAGACAGTGATTAGATCCAAGAAATTTAAAATATTAATTTGAAATAATTTTACCTCGATAAATCGAACCCAGTTGTGATGTTGAATGATCTTTTATAGCAACGAACAGTTGAAGTTTGGAGCAGGATTGACTATTTTCATGCCAGATTTGATTCTCAATTCCACACATCTTTGCCTGAACTATGTAAGAATATATCAGCCCATCCAACACTCTGTTGAATCCAAACCTCTGCGAATCGATCCGTAAGCAAATAACAATGATTTCACCTTGAGTGCCCAGCAAGCACTACCGTGCTACAGCTACTAGTGGGCAGAATGATGGTGTAAATGTTCCTGGTAATCATGCAGGGAGCAGAGTCCCCTTAATCCCCAGGAAGGTGGTCTTCCTTTGGTCGCTAGTGGTCTATAGCCTAGTTTGAAATTATACTAATTAATGGTCTGAGGAAGTAACATTAATTTAAAAAAAGAATCGGTTTGTTTTATGCCTAAACTGTAATACTGAGCATACTGTTTTATTGTTCTGTGTAGAACAGAAGTGGATATTGACGAATGTCAGTGGGCAAATGTAGTTGTGTTAATTTACAATTTACTAGAGTTCGACCTAAAGGGCAAATATCACTTCATAGAGTCTTATTCATTCCAATCCTAAATTGTATTTAGAGCTATTATAGAACAGAGTTATATCTACCTAAGTATCATTTTGTAAATGAGTAAATGACACAAAGTACACGTGCCATGCGCCATACGTGACATCAAAGTTTATGCAAAGTACTTGCTTCATGTTTATTTAGTTTTTTTAATAACTTTTATTTCATGCAATTTTATGTATGCACAGTTACTTTTTCCCGTTGGTATATTTCAGTCAGTCATGACCACTAGAATAAAGGGGAGTTACTCTAAAGACTTAGGATAAACTGAATCTCTTAAGGGTACGCAGGCGATGTATGAATTTATGCCACAAAACATTAATTAAATCAGCTGGCAGACCAATTTGAATGCCAACGTGAATGTCAATTTTCTCAAACGAATTCTGATTGTCAAAGACACACGATGTGAAAGTATCCATCAATATACCGATTGCATGACGCCATGTGTGACGAAAACATGTTTATGAGATTGCATTTGTATCAAGAATAATCAGTTGTTACAACTGGCCGCAGCTCTACGTCAAGAATTGCGCTACTCAATATATGGTAAGGATATCCTTTCAATATATTTGAAAACGGTAGAAACATTTCACACCCCTAAGATACCGCCTGTCAAGACTGAACAAACGAAAGGCAGTATTGCCACAAAATAGAAATACTTATCGGCGACAGAATATTGACACTTCTGAAACGATTAAGCGACTCATTATCCTGACGCCATATGTTGTGGTCGAGGTATGGCTATACTATAGCGAATATTTTTCAGATGCAATATTCTATGGCAATGTTGAGAGTGGTTGCTGTATGTACCTGGTGCAATGATACCATGTAATTGTACTAAAATTGACCGTTTTGCCTCGTTGTGTACTAACTTAAGTGGCGAGATGGCCAGGCAGTACGCCTGATAGCCACGTGCCCAAGAAGAGTTATGTGCAGCAACACCTTGAAACTCATACCACTCTACAGGCCGGTGTAATTCTCCGGGCGAGTCATTGAAATAAAAAAAATGTCTTGCCTAATTAGAGTTTTATGGTGTTGAAATTTGTGGGACGTACAACATTGAGAAAGCTTGGTGTAGTTGGTAATGTAGCTTACTCATGTTGGTGAGAACTGTAGCGGATGATATGTATGTACGAACTTATGACCCTGGAGCTTGCAGTAATATACTTGTGGGGCGAGCAATTCCTTGTGCCTCCTCGTGGCCTGGTAACCATTCCGTCGTTAATTTCTGGTCAAACAATTGCGAATTTCAAAAACAGAAACTCCCACGCAGGAAGCAAGGAACCGGAAAATGAAAGTCAGACCAAACAATTATGATAACAGAGATTCATGTAGAGAATGTAGTGATCGTATCATTTACAAGTGGGCATAAATACGACGAACAGTGAGCTTCTGAGGTGGTATGTGCTTGCATATAGATGTAAAAAGCTTTTCCGGACGGAGAGAAATGTGTATCGGGATTGACTGAAGTATTTATACGTTTTAAATCCTGTTTCGTTAAACGATTATTTATTTTAGACGTAACCTTGCTCAGTCACTTTCACAGGCCGCTCGTCTTCCTGATTTTAAAGCGATTTACTCGTAATAAGGTTATTATTATTCACGTTTGTGGCTTTTGGTTGGTCATTATTAGCATGGGTGTATGTTGGATTAATTAATTGTAGGCATGGTTGTCGATAATGAATTTATTAGCCAATTATATAGTTGGCCCGCCTTGTCCCGGCCCTGGCCCGAGTTTTAGGCCATTCCGTCACTAGTCTATATGTGATATGAACAATAGCCGGTCTCCAGTGAACGTATAGGCTTCGCATTTCATGTCGGTGATTTCTCTCTTCGAATGACATTGCATAAAGTGTAAAATAACGTGTTCCTAAATCTAATCGACGAGTAGTCTCCTTTGTCATGTGTCTGTCGTGGTCATGGGACATAAGAGTTATTCTGCAAATCAAATAACGACGGCTGAGTAGGTTAGATCTAACTTTGCTCGAGAGTTAGTGCCGGACCCAACCAAAACTATTATATTCTGTACTTTACTGCGAAACAGATGTACCAAAATATAACCTAAAGAATGTTATATATCGTTTACGTACCGTGACATCAAGGGCTGACCTGACCTGACTCCTCTTCTGTGTGACATTTTATTAGGTAACTAAATGTTGCTTGGTGGTTCGACGAAATTCAAGCCCTGATTTCTTTGGAGTGATACAATCGAAGATGATGCATGACATGGCAGTATGCC